CAGTCCCAGGTATAGGTACACACACTCAAAAGTGAACACCAGAAGGAAGTGAACAGCACATGCAGGAGCACATCTTAAATCAAATGGGGCGCACAAGTCACATTCAAAACCACCATTCCGACCAAGAAATCAGAATTTTCTCTGGCATGAGGGCTACAGAGTCTGTATCACAGCAGGCACATGACAGACATAACAAGAACAAAGGAAATCAAAGTCAAGTCTGCAATTGACGACGAGGTGACAAGCAGAAATTAAAGTCTCTATGCATGTGTATAGAGGGTAGACTTCGAGTGGAATGGAAATATGTACACAAGCACATGCTTCATTCCTTGACCATTGTTGTCAGTCAGAACTTATACATTGCCAGCTCTTGATGAATCAAGCGGCAATAGTAGGAAGAGCATGTACTTGTGGAATCAAAAGCCTAGGTGAGGGCACACCTCAAAGTAAATTTAAATAGGAGGTAACACAAACTGAAATCATGCTGGACACCTTGTGCTAGTGGGAACCAATTTTAAAGAACAATTTCCATGGCACTAAATTTAAGTAGAAGGTAACACAAACTAATATCATGTAAATCTTTTACCTCAAGTCAATTTCTGAAAATTACCAAGGAATGCCTCCTCTGATTACATTACTCACCTGACACTAATTAGTGGATCCAAAGCAAACAAATGGAACTCACACTTCAGCTGATACACAGGTGGTTGAGATTTCCCAAAGCCTAACATAGCCCTGCACCTTAACCAAACTATAATGACTGTGGGCTAAAAAATGTTCACATAAATAACACATATTTACACCTACATTGAAACACAAGAGTATGTTATAGTGTCAAAATTGTTGGGTGGACCATTAAACTCAACATTAAGGTAAGCAAATCCAACTTCCAAGAACACCACCAACAACAGAATTGACACCAAATTGCAACTAAATTTATTTATAACTCTATTGTGTAGACTGAGAAAACCACTTTTGCATCGTATGGCACATACGCACCAGTTCATATATCTGTCCAAATAACAAAAAGGGAAACAAAAAAAAAAGAAACCATACTTGTCAACTTTGGAAATGATTCAAGGGAAAAATCAATCCACAAAACAATATTTTACTTATTGAAAAGAAAGATCATGTGGCACAAAATGGAAATGAGGCAAGAATCCAGGAAGAACTCTTAACTACGCATTAAACTGTTGGTAATAAAGTTTTAAGCATGAGTGATTGTGATATTTCAATACTAACAAGATTTCCATGACTGAAACACTGAAAGCAAATGGTAATGCATTAGCAGGATCATGTGCTATTTTTTTTTTGGATAATGTAACAGAATAACAGAGATTTAAATTCTAAACACAAAAAGCACTGCAAAAATGCAATGCGATGCTGAAACCTGATAGATAACGATGGAGAAAATGCAAAGTGTCCCTACATACCAAACAATGGGATTTCACAGGGACACAACATCAACCTATTCGTCCCCCATTCAACATCACCAGCACATGATATCTTATTATTCTATCAGACCTGTAGCCATATCCCAACCCCCCCCCCCCCCCCCTCCCTCCCCAAAAAAAAAATCGTAGTTTCAGATGCCTAGTGAAAAATAACCAAGTGATATGTGATTGAAATGCCATCTGAAGACGTGAGCTTCAGAGTTTAGAGGATTTTTTATTATATATTTTTTTTTTTGGGCGAGAGCTTCAGAGTCTAGAGGATAAATAAATACACCTAATTCTAAGTTTCAGATTTCAGTCAACTTTCAGTCTAAAAAAAGTAGCTGATTACACTATGCACGTCTTAAACTCACATTCTTAATTTGAATCATACAATTAACCATGTGATATGTGCTCCAAATAAAACCAAATCCCAGCGGAAAATAATGGAAACCAAATTCTTAAACTGAGGCCAGAACACATCGATCAGCAAACACGGATTTGCCAATCATACAATTAACCATGTGATATGTGCTCCAAATTAAACCAAATCCCGGTGGAAAATAATGGAAACAAATTTCTTCAACTAAGGCCAGTACACATCGATCAGCAGACACGGATTTGCCTATCTCTATACTGCAAGCAAATTCATCCTATGTATATCTCTGCTCATTCTCCCCCAAACCAAAGTAAACAGCAGCGAAAGGGGCGAGTACCTGTGGAGTCCGCCTTGAGCTCCTGTGGGAACTGCAGCAACCAATAAGACGAAGTATGCCTGATCTACGGCGAGTCGGCGACCGCTACGAGGACGGCGGCCGGCCGCATCTGTCGCACAACATCACTTCCACGCCCGCCTCCCCGGTTCTGGACGCCTCGCACTGGACATCGTTGACCACCCTCGGCGCCTGTGCGCGCGTCCGGGCTCACGGGCTCGCGCTTTGAGGCTTCACGCGAGCTCGTCGGGGACGGAGGCAGCCGCCGGAGCGGGTGGGCAGGCGGTCGCGTTTCCTCCTCGGGTGTGCTCGCCACGGCGGCATGCGAGTACTGCGCGTAGCTGCTTGGGGAGTCGCTCCACCTGCTGGCCGGGGCGGGATCTCCGGGCGCGGCACACGACGACACCCATATTTCTTGTCGTCGTTGTCGCCGATGAACCACTGCAGGCGGCGAGGAGGGCGACTGGCGAGGCGGTGGTCGCCGCCGCCGGCGCGGAGCCGGAAGGCGAGAGGGAGGGCGAGGACGAGGAGTGGGTGCGCGGCCGGGGCGAGGAGGGCGCTGCCGGGTTGGTGGAGGAGCAGCGGGGCCTTGAAGTAGTGGCCGGTGGTAAAAGATTGCGGCGATTGGTTGAAAAGGAAGGAGGACTGGACATTTTTTTCACGCTCGGGTCGTGAAATGTGGCGGCTGTTGAATGGCTATTTTGCATTTTTTTTCTTCTTTGTATTGATTAGGAACAAATACAGGGATCTAGACGCAAAAAAATGAACTGTTTTACTGTTCATTTTCGTGTTTCCCTCACACACCGGAACGCACTTCAAAACGCAGGTGTTTGACCGCACAATCGTGACGCCACATGTCCGTCGCGCAACGGCCCGATCGTGAAGAATGAACGGCCCAGAAAAGGAGGCGACGTGGTTCGCCAGATTTCAGGCAGAAGCGATACAGCAATTCTGGTTTTTGATGGGTATATGAGGGCTGCTAATCGTGTGTGGCGTGGTCAAAACGAAAAAACAGTTGCTGGAATCATCATGTGTTCACGGGCGGCGGCGGGCTGCTAATCACTACACACCACGGTTCGATTTAGGCGACTTAAGGTGAGTTGTGACGGATACCTAAATCAGGGCATCCTGATCTAGGATGCTTAATTCTGCTAACCGTCTCAGCTTAATTGTGTAGGGCCCACAGGAACAGGCACACGACAACAGAGCGCTCGAGGGGCCCACGGCCGACCCCGAGGGCACATACAAGTTCCGCCTCGTCCGACCCCGAGTCGGCCGGGGCCCACGACTTCCGCCCCGCCCGACCCCGAGTCGGGTGGGGTCCACAGACTCCGCCTCGCCCGACCCCCAGTCGGGCGGGCCCCGAACTCCGCCTCGCCCGACTCCCAGTCGGGCGGGCCCACAAGCCGCGCTTCGCCCGACCCCGAGTTGGGAGACTTCGTCGAGAAGATTTCCCTCTGGCAAGGAGGACAGGCATTTACGACGAGTAGCTGGGGAGCCTTAACTCTACCCAGCAACTCATCTACTTGCAGGCACGCGATCTGACCTGCACAGTGACATCCGTCCCATCTCACAGCGCCGCCTGACACCTCGAGTACAGCAGCGGGATGGCTACGGCATCATCATCACCCTGAACAGGGACGAAGACCGGACCGGCGACAAGTTGGTCGCGACAGTCTGGGTTGACATCTCGACCACCTGCCCGGCGACCAGGCTGACAGAACGCCGCCTGACTAGAGCCACAGTAGCGGATATGGATCAGACTAGTGCGGCGCGTAGCCGCGCTGTCCACAACTGGAAACCCGGTTCTCATTTGTAAACCAGCTCACTCCTTGATTATAAAAGGAGAGCTTGGTGCATGAGGAGAGGGGATCCAGATATACAACACACACAGACATAGAGATACACACGAAGAGGCTTGGAGTCTTTCTCCTCCCTCGCCAACACTTGTAGCTCCCCTCTGCAAGTCGAAACACGAACTACCCATGAACTGGACGTAGGGCGTCGATTGCCTGAACCAGTATAAACCTTGCCTCTCTCGCAAAATCCTCGTCATCATAGAAGATTGTTAGGCGCCGTAGTTACAAATTTACTTGTCGGCCGGTTTCTTAACACCGACAAGTTGCTAAAAGGTCTTTCACCGACCCTCTTGGTTGGTCGGTATAAATGGCGTCGGTAAAAGTTTTACCGACCGACCACTTTTTACCGACTCACCATCAGTAAGTACATCTAATAAATTACCGACCCATAGTTGGATGCTATATATACATTTACCGACTCACAGTGCATCACCAACAATATTTTTTCTTTTAAAAAAATAATTCTTCTTTAACCTAATCCACCAATGCATTTCAGAAATAGAATCATCGAATGAACCCACTGCAAAAAATATATACAAATTCTCATTAAGTAATAAGATTCTTTGAATCGTACAAGTGATGAACAATAGTACATAATCATAGTAGATAAAAGGGAAAACTATTCAATCTAGTGTATAGGAAGCTAGAAGTACAATTTGAAGGTTATGTTTGCATGATTCCTCTAGGAGACACAAGATAGGACCTCAACGTGACATCTAAAATTCTGCCTTTGATAAGTCTACCTCAACCTGGATCTTTTAGGCCTCCTTTGGAATGCAGGAATTTCACAGAAATCGAACAGGAATTTCACAGGAAACAGTTCAATTTCACAGAAAAAACGCAGGAAAAGAAAATTTTTCCTTCAATCCGCCCAACTACCTAGCTGTAGTCGACATATTGATAATGGAATATTACATTATGATTTATGACTTAGTGCCATTACAAAATATTAAGGAAATAATAAATTATGTTATAGTGTAAAATTAATTAAGAATTGGGATGTAGCTCAATTGATAGAGCACTTTCGGTCGCTTCCAAAGAGGTTCGGGGTTCAATTCCTCGCATCTCCATAAATTTTTTTTAACCCCCGTCAACAAAGCAATCAATTAACCTGCCGCCCAAGTTTTGTTTTTCGAATTGCGTTGGGACTTTTACTGCTACGTACAGAAAAATAGGATCTCGCCCCCGCGTCGCCCACAAGGGCGACTCGGGCGGAGCCTCGCCGCCGCCGCCCCTAGCCACCATTGCCCGCTCTCTCCCCGGCCGCCGCCAGAGCCCAAGCGCCGGAACAACCCGTGCGCCGGCGAGGATGGCGGCGGCGGGGTCCTAATCGGCGTCGAGCTTTCCATCTTCTTTTTTTTCCTCCAGTCCCTTCTTCTTCCAACCCAACATGGTAGCCTGATCTGCTCGGTGAGAGGAGACAAGGACAGGAAATCGCCCTAGGGGTTCATGACGTTGGTGCCGCGTCGAGCTCCTGCATGATGGCTTTCCCGGCGAGGATGGCGGCCGTGCAATGCATGGAGGATGGCTGCGCCGCACAAGGCTGTACCGTGGTCGCGCCACGCCGAGCAGGCTGATGGCCGCATCACGCCGTGCATGGCCAATCAGCTGGCGACTCACTGGGGAGGGTCTACAGCAGTACAGCATGGTTTCACGGCCACCTGCAGCCCGTCCATTTCTGTCCGTCCAGCATATGGGAGGCGTGATGGTGGTGGCACCTGATATCCCGAGTCAACTGTAGTTCATGGGTAACAAATGGTGGTGTACGTGCTTAATGGCATGTGTTGCAGTCGCATGGTTGCCGCAAGGTTGCTTGATCTACTCTGACAATGGCTACTTTCGGTGTGCATGTCGACAATGGCTACTTTTGGACCTGCTAGTTCCGATGCTGGAGATTCATGCTGCTTTGTCATCATCCAAATGGCCAGGGATTATTGTCACCATCTTGTCGTTGTGTGGATTCCGATTCAGGAGTTTAGCGATGGGTTGTGATACATGCATGGTCCTCTTTTTTGCCTTCATGATGGTCACGCAGCATCTTGTTCGTCCACAAAACACAGTGGGCAGCATAGAGTCCAGGTTTTCTCAATTTCTTTCATATTGCAGTAATCTGATGTATCATCTTCGCCTTTGTTCCTTGTTCATGCAACCTAGTTGATTAACTACGGCGACATTGGGCTTCTCATTCTCTTCGCCTGATCAGGCTCTACAGTTAGAGAAGCGTGTCAGGCTTTATGGTTAGAAAATTGGTTGGTGACAGAAAGGAATGGCGATGGTGACCTCGCCACAGCAACAATGTATGGTGCTATGTGGATGTGGAATTGGACGATGGGAGCATCTCTCATCAAGTAGTTTTCTTTTTGTTGGCTTTTCAATGGTGGCAGTGTTGGATGAGATTTTGTGGTCATGATCTTTCAGATTGATTCGACGGATGATTATAGCAATTGGAGGAGTGCTGCAATGTCAGTCTTCGGTGAAAACCTTTGATCTGATTAGATCAGTCGACGATGGCGTTTGAGGACGTCTTTCTCCTCGTTTGAGGCGTCGATTAAGAGTTGACATTGTACTACATTTGTGACCTTGTTGAGATCATGCAACAATGAAGCATTGTCGCGGATTCACAGACATCAACCTCTTTATTTTGCCTCTTTCTTCGGTCTTTCTTGAGGATGGTTTTAAGACCCGTGTTCTCTCACTCCAAGATTTGGCCCAAGAATCAATGGGTTTTTTAATAGTTGTAGAGATTAGAACATCATCAAGCATTCAGGGTTACATGTGTTTAGGGATTGGAAGTTGGGGTTGGAGTGTTCTCTGTTTTTTTCCTTTTTTCCATGATGGTTGTAATAAGAAATAGCTATATGCATTATTCAATGCAGAGGCTGGAATTAATATATTCCCGCTTCTAAAAAAAAAAAGTTTTGTTTTTCAATCATATTGTGTATCGTCACAACTATGGACTTTTTGTTTGGTATAAAGTGATGGAATCTCTATTTCATAGCTGTATGCATGTGCCCTTGTCCGTACAGAACAGTCAATTAACCTGCCGCCCAACTTTTTTTTTTCAATCATGTTGTGTATCGTCTCAACTACGGACTCTATGGATTATGTGGGTAAGCTGTACAAATCATTTTGTGTATCGTCTCAATAGCATAGTTCTACCTGAAAAATCTTAACGTTTATATCTCTGCAGAAGTTGGACTGGATGATCAGTCTTATCGAGTCCGAGGACAAGACGGATTGCTGGCCGCGTCCATGTCGGAATAAGGAGTAACGTCCCTCCCCCTGCGTGTTGAAACCAAATCGGACAGCCGAAACCGAGCGGGATTCTAACACCAGGCGTGTCATAAAAAACACCAGTACACGGGCTGTTGCTCTTTCGTTTTACGGAGCAGAAACAGAGGCACAGGCACTACAACGGTAGCTTCAGCGCTCCGTAAGTTGATCGGCCGTCCATCGCCGGCAACCATGACAGGCGCTGCAGCGACGAAGAGGGAGGTGGCGGCCGATGTCACGGAGGAGGAGGCGGCGGAGTCGTCGTCGCAGCGCGCGTCGCACAAGGGGAGGATCGCGGCGAGCCTGGGCTTGGTGGTGAGCCTGGCCCTCCTCTTCTTCTCCCCACAGGTGACCACCGAACCGGGGATCACTGCCTTCAGCGTCATCGTGGCTGGCGCCGCCGCATTCTGCTGGGACGTGTATGGCCGGCCGATGCTACATGCTGCCAGCCTCCACGCGGATTAGCCGGCGTGGGCCCCGTCTTCTAATGACCCCGTCTCTAGCTACTTGGTCACTCATCGTCAGGATGAAAGATTTGTATAAACAGAGCTGCGTTTCTCTGTTAATGACGAAGTTTTGATGGTCATTTTTTTGTAGATAATAGTTTTGTTGGCCATGCATGTAAGCATCAAAAGTTGTGGCTTTTTTAATAGGAGAATCTATATGTTTTGTTACTTTTTTATTAATCCAAATCTACTGTTCTGCCAAAAGCAGTCTGATTTTCTCAATTCTGAACATGGTCCATTATTTCTCGGTATAGTAACCAGACCAGACAATAAACTATGCAACGATTTCATGCTCGGTCGCATCTGCGACCAATCACAACACTACAATCCTGAATAATCTAATCTATACAGATAGTTCCCCTGTGGTTTTCTACACATCAGAACGAATCGTTGAATTTCCGACTGCAACTTCCGCTCCTGTTACAACCCTTCCTACCAACAAATCCACCCTACACACCGAATCTATGCATATGCTATCATCCTAAGTTACTACAGTAAGCAATTACACAACAGGCTCACAATAGCGACACCAGGCCGCGGTGCGGTGGATCAACAGCCACCCGAATCCTCCAGTGTCAAGGTTAGTGGGTGCCATGGCCTCTCTCGCTTGGTGCCCACGACAGCTATGACTGGAAGCAGACGCAATCCAAATGTCGAGCCGACAATGTTGATTGAGCTCATGTCTACTCGCTACTCAGCTGTATGCGTCTGCATCTGATTCACCACCAGTTGCGCCGCAGATGGGAACAACATTGGTCCTGAAAGAAGGAAAATCAGTTTGCGCTAAAACAAAAATGAGATATGGAAGGTTTGGAAAACTATAATGTAAATAAGAGTCTGGCTTCGCACCTGGGACAGCATTGAAACCATTAACAGTTTGCTGCATGGCTGGGTTTACATGACGGTTATGGTTGCCCTTCATCTCAACACCATGCACACCTGGTCCCATTGACATTTGTTGGACTGGTAATTCCCGAGAATCAATCCTCTGTGCAGTGCTGGTCGAAGCATATGTCACAGCATGTGGCTGTGATCCCGCAAGATGGCTTGCGCTGGCAGCACAATCCATAGTGGAAGGACTGTTAACAGTCGAGAGCTCGCTTGATGATACTATATTGCTTGGTGGTGCCATTGCTTCTGAAAATGAAGCTAGTACAGGCGGCTGAAATGTTCGTGGTGCTTCATCATCTCCAATCCAGCCAGGACCAAACTGTGTTCCAGAAGGAAGGCTTCGTTCAATCCGTCTTGATGCAATTTCCCAACCAATAGGACCAAGCTGTGCAGCAAAACGTGCCAAGCTACGGGAATAGGATTGTTGCAGCTGAACCCCAACCTGATAAAAAAACAATGTGTTAGTGTGGATCATCATGTCTTTCTGTCTTCTAACGTTGATTTGTATCAATATATCATGAATTACTTATAGAACAGAACTTGGATTGGACACTCAACTGGTACAAGCAGTTTCCTCGTCCCATTGTAAGATGACGACACTGGCAGCTCATACATTGAACTAGATGGTTGTGCCTCGTAATATGTGCTTCGACGACTATCTTCCATCAGAAGTGGCTTCTTCCCATTCGCTGACCATTTACTCCCAGAACCTAGAAGAAAGGTGAAGCACCAAAGGCCGTTATGGGTAGAAATAAATGATTAAATTGGACGAAATCCCTCTTTTAGAGAGTTCTCATTGAATGTTTTTTTGACGGTAAGTTCTCAGCGAATGTTGACTGTTCAAAAGAAGCATTTGAAAAAAGGATAAAATAAAACCTGGGTAATCTTCAATTCTTTCTGACTTCCGCTCAACAGACCAGTTGTACTCATTTCTTTGATTGGCAAAAGAAGCTCTCAGTACATCAGCGATCATCGCTCTCCGTGAGAGCTCAAGTTCTGATGGTGCATGGCGTCCACTATTTGAAGCAGTAGCCGGTGATGAACCAGAGAAATCAGTATTAGCATGTTCTGCAGGTGGCCTCCCAACTTTTTGTTTGACATTGTTCTTGTTTGGAGGCCGGCCCCTGCGAGGTTGTGGCTTTGGTTCTGGTTCCAGTTCTGGCTCTGGTTTTGGTTCTGGTTCTGGTTCACTAGCATCACTATCTTGCCTAAGATTCTCAAAGTCCTTTTTAGCAAGCTCTTGAATTGCTCGCGCCTGTAACGCATGGCATGTGAATGTAAAATATGCAGTACAGTCAAATATAATGTCTAAAAGATAATAACAATTAGGCTTAAAATCTGACCTGTCGATAGTATATTGTATCCGGTGAGTTGTAGCACATCGCATTTGAGCTAATCAA